CCCCTTGCTTGGGCTCTGAAGCTATCGGGTCTTCATTGGGGAGTCTGAAGCTGGGGCTTGGGATGATCTAAAGTGAAGGGTTGGCGTTAGGTCGGTGTTCTGTCTGACGGCCAATCATCTCCCCACAGCTGGTCCAAAACAACCCCGAGCCGGGACGGACGCGGATAACATGCGCTGGAGGGCCGACAATTCTACCAAACCCTCAACCCTAAACCCTAAACCCCTAAACCCCTATAAACCCTATAAACCCTAAACCCCACAGCTCCATCGCCTCCTAAGAGCCCCGCCGATGTCCGAGGCTTTTAATCCAAGAAGCGCGGCGACTTCAGGAAAACTGGCTTTCGGGTTCTCCCCTGGCTCTGAAGCCGATGGGGGAGGTTCAGATTTCGGGTTCGGGGTTTGGGGTGTAAGGTGATTGTTAGGGTTGTATGGTGTATGGACTTAGAACAGTGTTTAGGTTGTAGTTTTAAGTCTTCAGGGTATGTGGTGGGCATCGGGGACAACCCGATATGATCTTCATGAACATGTGAGATCTGGCGTCCAGCGTGAGTGGCCCCTCCCCTTCGAACCAGTGGCCCCATAATACACTGTAAGATATGCTGTTGCACACTGTAATATGGGTGGTGGTCAAAATTATGGTCCCTTTTTGGGTCCCTATTTTAATACGGCAACCTATTTTGTATTTAGAAAAGGGACCTTAATTTTGACAACTACCCATATGCTGTTCCTGGATGGCGATATTTCCGAAATCCGTCGGAAGAAATGGGCTTGGGGTTTTGGGCGTTGGGGTTTTACGGTTCGGAGCGTGCTTCTCAAAAGGCTCCAAAGGTGGGATGAAGGTAGGTGGGGTATTCCCAATTAAGAGTCCTTATATAAGGGATCCTTCATCCTACCCACCTTCATCCCACCTTTGGAGGCCTCCGAGCCTCCTAGGCTTCCGTACGACGTTCACGAGAAGCCCGACGACCTTCTGGTCGGCTTCTCGCTCAGTAACAGGCTTATAACATTTTGAAAAGGGTTTCGGAATATACTCTACTAATCTCATGATCTCCTAATAAGGAACCCTAAGGTAAGGGAATGACCATCGGTAAGTGCTTGATCCGCTCCCTGGCTGGCCCAAAAACTGACACAAGTAATCATGCCGCGCAAAGTTACAGCTTGCTCAGAAACATTTATGTAAAATGATACAGTATAGCATAGCTTATATATCGTATAGTCTATAGTATAGTGTAGCACAGTATACCTACTCAGCTGTTGAGACGTTAAGGCCACGACGGGCCACTCGCGCTCGCATCGGAGGTCGGATCGCCAGGTGCAATTCTGACATGAGCTTCTGTCAAGACTTCTTATCGTGAAGATTAGGGTTTGGGGTCTAGGGTTTGGGTTCGGGCTTAGGGTTCAAGATTTCAGGGGCAGCGGTACAGCTGACTGCAAACCCGCCTCCAAGCCCCTTAGACATGCTGGATGCTAAACAGCAGTATGTCGCACTCTCGGGACCTGGGGCTTTAAAGTCCACTGCCGGCGGCTTGGCAATCGCTTGAGCGGAACTGCATGGAGCTTCCACTTTTTTATTACGCCACCATAGGAAAAGTGTTTGAAACCTCTTGCACGAAAAACAACATCCAAAGGCTGCAGAGGTGTGAAAAGAGTGTGATTGCATCTTACCATACACTCCAGGACTTGCGTTTCGGCTTGGGATGTGAAATGAACATTCCTATGCCCCTTTCACTGAATTCTGACAGGCGCTCATATCCAATGCTGCGTTGCGCTTGAAGCTGTAGAGAGGGTTTGAGGTTTGAGGGTATAGGATTTAGATGTCCGTGACAGGTTGAAGCTACGAGCATCCTGGATGTTAGGGGTTCTTTCTTCTTTGGATCGCACACTCTACAGGCGGTGCGTGCGGCTTGGAGGTGAGAACTCGGGAGATTCCTAGGTTCGCAGGGTTCTCTGCGTACCGGAGGCAGCAACGCAGTCTGATCTTGGCATTGGGGTTAGGATCACCCCGCCTCGCACATGCGAGCATGCAGTTCAGCGTGACCCTCACGACATGGACGAGGCACCGGAAGCCAACTGACAACTTCATATACAAGCCTGACTAGTAGACTGGGGTTCGGGTGGTCTGAAACTAGAGTATCTATAGTTTCGAGAATGAAAAGTTCAGGAGTACCACAACAGGCAATTCAAACCCCTATATTGAGCGAAGCCATATTATTCGCTGCCACCCCATGACAGCAGAATGGCTTATCTTCGCCACTAACCCTCAAAACAATAAAGTTCGGCAGAGTGCTCATACGACCAGAAACATGCCGCGAAACTGGCATCAATCTTAACCGCTAAACTAAACCTTGAATCCCAGAACCAAACCCTACCTAGAACCTGTCAACCCCAACCGCCAGACCCAAACCCCAAACCACGGGGTCACCCTACCGCCTTAAACACCCTAAGCCCTTCGACACATTAAGCCTAAAATCCTAACCCATCGGTCCAGAAGCCCTAAATTCCGAAGCCGATGCCCATCCGTCGTGGCTTTAAACGATTCTTCTTAGCAGTGACGAATGGAAGCCGATTCCGGAGAGATCCCGCCGTCGGACTAGACCGAACACCCGACGCTTGAGAATTTAGGGTTTAGGGTTTAGGGGGGTCAGCTTGCGGCTTCAGGCTTTGCAGTGCCTACTCAGTCCTACTCTTTGGGATTTCGGATTTAGGGCTCTTGGCTTATGGTGTTATTACCACCTTACAGTCCCTGTGTAGTTATATAGAAGAATAAACAGTACAACCCCAAAGCCCATTATAGTTCATGGCCACCTCACTGGGTTTTTTCCAGACAGAGCAAGAACCCAAACGCCAAAGCCCCAAACGCTAAACCCAAGACCCAACACCTACGAACTCTTGTAAAGCCATTCTCGGGGCCCTTTGAAAATTGCGAAACGGGAGTTTCAGAAAATTAAGGGTATCGTAATTTGGGGTCCTTAAGGATCCTACTATTTAGGGTACTATATTAGGGTCCCCTGTTTTCGGAAACTCCGAAACAGAACCCTCTTAGACCCTTGTAGAACCAAGCTTGTGGGGTCTCGGGGATCGGCTTCTCGCACGCGGACCATGTGACACGCGGGCGATGAAGTTTCCCACCAAGTTTGTCAAGCTGCGAACATCGAAGAGGGTGCTATATGAGCGTATTGACACTTGCTAAGGCAGCTGGAAGGCCTTAATGAATGATTAGAATGAGGTTGGGGAGTATGTTATAAGGGGACACTGTGGCAGACCTTTATATAGTGCTTCGGAATTTCAGTGTGGGATATCGGATCAAGGTTCAGGGTTTTGGGTGTAGGCTATAGGGTTCAGGGTTTACGGCTTCGGGTTTGGGGTTCGGAAATTTGGTGTTCGGGTTTATAGGGCTTGTCGTCCTGTCAACAGACGAAAACACCCCAGAACTGAATTGAGGGATCCTATCGTCAAAGCGCCCCTCCCCCAATCCTTATGATAAGGACCCCTTAAATAGTAGGATCCCTATCATCGGGGCCGGAAACAAGGAGACCTGTCTGTGAAGACGCCCTGAATCGACCTCAAAGCCTCTTGGAGTTCAGGTGTTTAGGCTTTAGTCCAGGGTTTCAGGGTTTGAAGATCTAAGGAACTATTTCAAAAATCCACCTCAGGAATCTTCTTTCCAAGAGCTCGACAAGGCTGGGGGACCCTGCGAATTAGCACTCTTTGGTCGCTCGCAGGAGGGCGTGGCTTCATTGGAATAGCTCACTACTCACTATAGTATATGATACTAATGGGTGGTTGTCAACATGTATGGTCACTTGTTGGATCCCTATCACAATGCCGCACCTACTATTTAGGGTGCCCAAAAAAGGACCTTAATTTTGACAACTACCCCAGTAGCAATGTTATGATAGACAGCTCATTTGAATGCATTCTGGGCGGGAGCCTTTCGGGTCGGGTTCCAGTGGAGCAGCTTCATGGTCTTCGTCTTTCTTTCAAGCATCACGTCATGACGGGCCGTGATAGTGAAGGTAGTCTGAAGGTTTCGTGCTTAGGGTTTAGGGTGTTCGGGCTTCATCAAGTCTGCGACACCACGCCACCCCCGCTCTCAGCTCTCAAAGCTTCGACAAGCGAGATTGACAAGGCTTCCTGCGAGCCACGGCGCCTACAATTACCTTTGGTTAGTAGGGAATCGAGGAATGGGGTGCAGTTGTAACTACTATTACTACCATTCTTCCATTCCCTACTAACCAAAGGTAGGTACATCCTGCATCATTGCTGAAAGGAGCAGGGGACTAGGTCAGTCGGGTTTGGGCTCGATGTATCTTTGTCATGCTTGTCACTAGATGCAACTATGCAATTGTCGTTCCCCTGATTGCCCTGCCAACGAAAGGCTATATTTGGATCTGTTGGCTCTCGTAGGGGGCTAGAAGCAGGTCAAGGCTGAGGGTTTGATTGAACTGGCAACCTTAACTGTTGAAAATAGCAAGTATGACGACAAAAAGGATACTAGTCATCATGGTACAGAGAGTTGGACTGACTAGTAGTAACCGATTCCATGGTAAGGTCAACACTGGTAAGAAGGGTGCGAGCAACGGCTGCTTCAATGGGGTGCAAGGCTGCAAGTCATCGGCTAAGATGCAAGTCCGGAAGAGCTTTGGGCTTAGGGTTTGGCATGAACTTCACGAGTCTGGAGGTTCATGCCAAACCATTAACCCAAAGTATGGTTTAGGGTTTGGGGGAGTTTGGTTTAGGCTTCAGGGCTTGATGGTTGCGGTTCAGTGAAATTCGATGACCGGGGCTTCTAGGATTTAGGGTCTGAGGCTTGTCGCGATTGAATGCCACTCATGTCCTATGTTCTAGCCCTGGCGCATCTGAAGGCTGAACCGAAGGAAGGATCCATATCGATCTCTTCGCTGTAGGCCTAGGCTTCAGGGCTTGCGGTTTCGACATCTAGTCTTTTCTGAAAGGTGGTACCTCGTAGGAGCACCCTGCGCTGTAAGGCAGCTACTCACTCAGCCGTTGCTGGGCTCAGTCGCCTTCATACCAGTGTGCCTGGCATGAGCAGCCAGTGGTTAAATAGCTCTTCAAGTCTACCTCAAAGCTTGGTGAAACGGTCTCGTTCACCCTCTGATGAATGGAAAGACTTCGGGTATCCGCGAGATGTAAGCCGTCGACGTCTTCTGCTTCAAACCCTGAGCCTCTTCAGCTCTAAATCTCAGACCAAGGCTAGATTGTGATGGAAACCTGCAGTAGCTCGAGCTTTTGTTACTAAAGCCCTACAGAAGGTATGCCCTAACCTCAAGAGGTTGGGGTTCGTCAGCTCACCAGGCTAGGCCCGTAGAGTTTGAAGATTTATGGCTGTGGGTTCAGAGTCAGTTTAAGGCTCCCTGTAAGCCTTCCGGATCTGATCATAATGTGTTATGGGCCTCAAGCCAACCGCCAGATCAACCCCGCGTTTGGGGTTTAGCCTTGGGATCCAACTCAACTAGAGCTGATCAACTCGTCTCCCAGCATAACGACACTCACCCACAAGACTCACGAACAACTGCACACTCGAAACACCAAGAACCCACTGGGCCCAGAAACCACTGACATCCGAAAACTTTTGCAGAACCCTTACAAAACCCCAAAGCAACAAGCGCTCCCTCGATCAGAGTGCTAAGGCAGGCCGGCTGGGCTGTTCGATTTTGCTGGTCAGGGCCTCCGCATCTGCTCCAGACACGGAGCCCACCTTCTGGCCGTCCTGCTTTTGGCTTTTGAAATCTAAGAGTTTAGGGTCCTGGGTTACAGGCCAAGACCCCTAAATTCTTGAATCTTCGAATCGCAAGCCTGAGTGCTTAAGTCCAGAAGAAGACACAAAAACCCAAGCTCAAAAACCCTGACCCTTTAATCGCCGAAGATCAGAAATTCAAACAAAACCCGCGGATTGGACCCTCAGCCCCAGACTTAAACCTCCAAAGAACCCCGAACCCTCACACCGCCGCAGAAAAAGCCCATGTCCTTGTAAATTTGGTACAGCGGAACCTGCTTTCTGCGAAGTGTCAGTTTGATCGTACTTCGGGCTTGACCCGAAACCCTAAACCCTAGACCATAAACCCTAAACCCTAAACCCTAGACCCTAAACCCTAAACCCCTCCCTAAACCCTAAACCCCAACCCTAAACCCTAAACCCAACCCTAAACCCCTTACCCGAGGATGTCAGGACTTCTGCATCTACTCGACTTCAACTTCAACAGAACTCCGACTCTGAAACCAAAGGGTCCTTACTCCCCTAGCCTGGTGTTGTAGGGCCTGAAGTAGAACGAGGTTTCTAGAAGGGCTTGACAAAGATGCTTCAGGTTCTGCAACGGTTCTAAGTCGATCTATGTAATTGGTTCTAACGGCATGGGGTCTTGGGGGATGTTTTTGAACTGTTCAGACCTCTGACTCTGAACCGCGAAACTCCGTTGAAGGTCAACAGCCCAGCACTTACCCAAACTCCCGACAATCCGTCCTGTTTTCACAGTCGAACCTAAACACTCAGTTTTGCAACCCGCCCCCCCCTCCCCCCCACAAAAAACCAAAGACCCAAACCCCAAAGTCCAAAAAGCCCTCAACCCCACTGTCCTAAAGCAACCAAAACCCAACCCTAAATCCTGAACAACCCCACCCTCACAACCAAACCCAAAATCCTAGAACCCAAACCGTAAACCAAACCGTAGAATCCTACACCCCCAAGCGCTAAAACTTTGGCATCAGCACCCACTCAGGGGCCGGCGGTGCGAACACCTTCTCGCTTCATGATCTGCATCCCCTCTGCTGCCTGCAGCGAGAGGTTTGAAGAGTTTGGGCTCAGGTCTAGGGATTTAGCAGTTTAGTTTAGGGGATTAGGATTGATTAGGAGTTAGGGTTTCTGCTTTCAGGGTTCATGAAGGTGGGCTAGAGTTTGGGGTTCCTGGGGTTTGCGGTTTAGGGCTCAGGGTTAGATTGTTTTGAGCACCAAGCATTACTCCCCGGCCTGGTTTACGGTGCAGTTTTCGCGACATTCCCATCCTTTTGGGGATCCGCTGCCCTCGGCAGCTCTAGAGTCAGAGTGCTAGAGATTTCATCCTTGATTCTCTCGGTTTTAGGGTTTAGGGTGTAGGACTTAGGAAGTTAGGTTCCTGGGTTTAAGAAACAGAGCACTGGATCCAAACTTCGTACTACGCGAAACACAATATGGCTTTCTGGACATCTATGACGGTGACTCAAACCCTATACCCTCAACCAAGCAGGAGCCCGGGCTGAATGTTTCGGTCGCAGGCTTCGGGCGGTCACTTCCAGCAATGAAAAGCCGAGTGAGACTTAGACTTAGAGTGGGGTCTTTGTAGGGTTTTCTGCCGGAAATAAAAATATAGCGTTCATAATGAAGTTATGAGGGCCTTGATGCTAAGAGAGGGGATTCTCTTAATCCAGCTATATAGTGAAATATCCGGGATAACTACCAGAATAGGTCTGGGGGCTCAATTATAGCATTGTGGAGGTTATTCAGACCGATGCAGACGTCTTTATTATGGCTCGGCCAGCCCGAAGCTCATCAACCCTAAACCGCTACATGGTGATCCCCAAACCCTCGACCTCGAACAAGCCCCAAAATCGATGGTGAGTTGGGCAGCTGGGCCTTGTCTCCCATGACCTGTCCACCGAAACTCACAAGGTTTCTGACGTTTCGGGATTAAGACTTAGGTTTTGCAACGAAGGTTCCAACACTTGCCAGAGCAGCTCATGAAATCCCATCCTGTGGCATCACCACATCACTGATTGACCACCACAAACTTGCTGTTTTTCATCATATCTCCTAACATCAATCGTTCGCCAGCTAGCCAGCTGAAACCTTCAGTAGGACTCTTGTCTGCAAGGCGGAGAATTCGCAACTAGCCCGATGATCTATGTGGCAAAATCATGGATGAAGTGTGGTGTCTTCAACATCCAAACAACGCATGCGCAAAAAACAAAAGAGAGATTACAGGAGGGGTTCTGACAATTGGGAAGTGTCTTATGTCTTTTGAATCTTTTGGGAGGGGGAGAGATCAGATCCTAAAATTCGGTGGTAAGAAGTTGCCCCCCTCCCCCCCGTTCTCGGGACTTGTTTGCGGGACTCTGTCCACCTGAGCTGTGCCGACTTCAATGCAGCCAGGCAAGAGTCTTCCGGCCGTGCACGCACTCCCAGTCTTTGCTTGGAGCCCCAAGCGTAAATAGCAAATCCTCAACCCATTCCCTAATCTCCCCAAAGCCTAACAGCCCACAGACCCCCAGAAAAAGGCAGGGGCGTCCTTGAGGAAGGTCGCTTTGGCTTCGAAGATCTCACTGAGCTCCTTCACCTGCAAACTGAGAACGACTCCACCATGCTTCGTTGCGAGAACCATCACTGGACTCATCATCATGGGGTTGCAGGAGAGATCCTTCATGTAAGGTGTAGAGATGCCTAAGGTTGAGGGTTTATGAACCCTCAACCCTAGCTGATCACCCTTAGCAAGGCTCCAAGCTGGATCTTAAGGAAAAGCCGGGGGTTCTTCAAAACAAAGGACCCGAACAGTTGTAACAGGGTCTTAGCGTATCGTGTTACAGCGTAGCTGTATAGGTACTGTATCGGAATACTGTAGCTGAATAGTCAGGTCTTTACATTTCCCGAAATATTTCGTGGCTGTGGGATATTAGATTCTGCCGAAGCTTCAGTCATAGAGACGGGGTTCAAGGCAGAATCTCGTTTGGGTGTTGTATTGAGGGCACAAGTTCTTCTTGGGCGGCTTGTAGGCTGCAGGTATTCCACAAATCCCTACGGCTCTCCACTCCAACCCTCGAAAGCACCAGCTGACCCGCCTTCCAGGTGCAGCGTAGCTGGTGCGGGCAAATCCGAAAGCCCGCCTTTACCCCCTCCTCACCGACAGAACTGAACCTCGAATCAAACCCAAGACCCCTAAATCCCCTCAAACTCCCAAGACTCGAAAAATACCCCCTCCATCGCCAAACCTGAAGATCCTCGCAGCCCTAAAAACTCCCAATTCGGGTGAGCCCTGCTCCCTAACTCCTATCCCGAACACCTGGACACCTGAACAACTCAAACCGGAACCCTGAAGCCACAATCACATCCTACATGCTAAACTCGAGATCCTATACCCGCTAGACCTTGCACTCCTCAAAACAAACTGCCGGAGCCTTGGGATCCATCAGCTTGCAAGGGCCACACCTGAGTCGGGTCCCTTCGAGGGGGCCTTGAATTTTTGGGTCCTTAGAATAAGGATCCTACTATTTGGGAGACTATATTAGGGTCCCTTTGGACTTGGGTTCCAAGGTCGAGGCAAGGATAATGACCAATCTGATGCTTGAGGGCTCCTTGTTTTCACTATACCATAATCTACCCCAACACCCTGTTCCCTTTTTTTTGAGGCCCGTGCCTACATCAGTCTCGGCTTGAGGGCTCTGGCATAGGGCGGAGGGTTTGGGGTTTGATGCTCCGATTTGGGGTTGAAGACATTGGTTTTGGGTTCATGACTTCGGTTTCGGGTTTGGATCTCGGATTTTGAATGTGGGTTTAGCTTAAACTTACAGGATGTAAGGACTGGGGATTGGGGTCGATGTTTAGACCGCTCTGATAATGTCGGCGGGGGGGGGGGGGGGCCCTTAACCCGCAACCCTCCTTATACGGCCCTTCTAGGTGACCATTCGGTGGAGCCCGAAGGCCCGAGGCTTGACCTATAGTTCCTCTGTTCTAATACATGGTATTCTATGATACGATACGGTATGATACTATGCTACATTAGATTACATTGTATGTTAATGGCTTCAGACTCTAAACTCTAAACCACTAGAGGCTGAGAAAGCGGCCAGGTCGTAGAGAAGCCAACGATCAGAACGTTTGGCTCCTTGGCATCGTGATTTGGGCATCTGCGCCTAAGGATGTAGCTTAAGGGCTGAAGGTGTAGCTGTTCCGATCATGAGAAGAAAAAAGTGGAGGGTTTCGGTCTAGGGTCTGCTGTCCGGCTTTAGGCTCCGGAAGTTCAGGGTGTGGAGCTTCTGCTGCGCTTCAGGGCTTCCCGGAATGTGGCTCCTTAGTCCTGCGCTTGACAAAGACATAATCAATACGCTCCCAAAATCGGTATGCGAAAGCAGACACACACACAGGCTAAGCGAACGCACTCTGAATCCTACGCCCCAGCCCTGATCCATTGGTGCAACACATACCCTAAAATCGACGCACGTTCGTCCAAAGTGTTGCGGAGTCTGAATGAAACCGGTAACACATACCCTTTCAATCCTCACTCCGGAACCCTCAAATGGAAAGCCCCGAAAGCAAGACATCATACTGGGCTGCCCGGCCCCTTGCGCCGTTCGTGCGATCGCCTGGCAGAAAAGCTTCAGAGTTAGCTGATACTCTATCTACTACTACAGTCAAAATTTTCTCAATAATCTTAAACACCGCAACCCAAAACCTAAACTCTCAATGTGAAGCCCTGAAGCCCTGAACCCCTGAACCCCAATCCGCCCTAACCCAAAACCTGGAACAAATGGCTCTTGTGTTCGGCCGACACAGGCTGATTGCTCTGGTGTGGGGGCTTGAATAATATTGAATAGTTGTAGTAGTGTTGAGGGATGCTGAGCACTGCAGCTACGGAGTGACGACCAAGAAAATCATCAATGTAATATGAATATAAGACTACGTAACTACGCAGATTCAGAACCTTCCATAAGTTGTATGATTGAAGGATGTGGAACTTAGTTCGAGGCTGTGCGTAGGTTAAACACTTCCACTCCCCCCCCCCCCCAATACCAGGATCAATCTGGTCAGAGGTGCGTCATCCAGCTCTTGAATGGTCCTGGGCGAGCTTCAGTCCCACTTATTGCAGCGTCAAGGTGTGAAAGCCTGCAGAGCTGGACCCTCGACTCATACTCTGAAAATCTTGGACAACACCGCGAAAGCACAGGAAGGAAGGAATATTGAAAGGATCATCGGGCTTAGTAAATAGAGTCCTGGGTACGACACTTGGTTTGTAGGGTGGGTACAACGATAGATAGATAGCTTCCTTGCAGCCCTACACAAACCCGACACCCAGGAACCCGGCGCCACATCTTCCACGGCATTCCGTGCGACGTTGGGGTCCCGGCCCTTCCGCGCGGCCCAGTGTCGCTGAGGGAGTGTATGTGTTTCTAATTACGCTGGAAACCCTAACCCACCTTCTTCGACACAAAAACCACGATTCATACTTTCAGCAGAGTTAGTGCCGAGGCGGGCCACCTCAAAGCAACCGCCAAATCAAATTACTAAAGCCCTGAAGCCATAAGCATTCAGGCTTTCAGGATTTGGGGTTTGTGACCCCCGCAGAGGTTAGACGCTTGTCTAGAGGGGTCACTATACGGGTTCATGTAAGCCCTGCACCCCGCAAAGCCAATAGATGCCAATTTGCGGCACTAGACTTGAGGGTTTTGGGGATATTATAGTGTCTGCGGTTTGGGAGTTTTGCGTAAGCCCCCCAGCCTCAAACCCCACGAGCCCAACTCTCCCAAGCCATCTCAAGGCCACAAACACGAAAGCCTCAAGGCCCTGGACCGAAGACCCAACCCCTAAGAACCCCAAGCTCTTTGACGATCGAGAACCTTTGCGACACCAAGGCCGTTGTAAACTGAAACATGATTCGTGCTCAGCAGCTGAATTAGTGCCTCGACGAGGGCGAGGTAGCAAATGCATACGACTTTTGATTAGGCCCTAAACCCTAAACCCTAAACCGCAGGCCCCAAAACCCAAATCCTAAACCCTAAGCCCCAAACCCTAAACCCCAAATCCTAAACCCTAAGCCCCAAACCCTAAACCCCAAGCCCCAAACCCTAAACCCCAAGCCCTAAACCCTACAGAGCCCAGGAATCCCAGGATTGGCCTGGCCTGGCCGTTCCAACCCCAGGCAGCTGCGGTGCGTCCCGGGGTGAAGGCCAGGCCTGCGAAGCGGCGAAAGGGAGGGCTTTTTGGGGTTTAGGGTTTAGGGTTTAGGTTGTATTAAGGCTACTACTAGAAGGGCTACTATAAGGGATCTATAAGGGTACTATCGTATAGTATAGGCCCCTATACTATACGATAGTACCCTTATAGATCCCTTATAGTAGCCCAAATAGTCCCCTTTAAAGTACTGCTTATCCAAGCTTTACATTCAAGGTTTACTTGCCTTTGGTTAGTAGGGAATGGAGGGATGGGGTACAATTGTAACTACTATTACTACCATTCTTCCATTCCCTACTAGGCAAAGGTAAGTGTAGGGTTCAACAGGTTTAGGGTTGTCCGATTCAAGGTTTAGGGTGTAACCGGTTCAGGGTTGTCAGCTATAAGGTTTAAAGTTTAGGGTGTAACAGCCTCTATTGGTTCAGGGTCTTTACTAGGGTTGCTAGAAGCGCTGTAATCTAGAATCTAGAGGCCATGACAAGGCACCGACTTCTGAGTGGGCCTTGTAAGGGTTTGTTTCTACACGGATTTCTGACTTAAACTACTCAACACTGCAGTGGAGCTATTCTGACTGTATACGGAATAGATGGGACTGCTATTGCTAATTATTCCGACCCCTGCAATACTTGCTTAAGGGAGCGGAGGAAATAATACAAGCACTGCTATACCCTCCAACTCGGAATCGCAAGACCGGCGCCTTCCCGGCAGAGGTGGTAGGCCACCTGCACTCACGAAGACTCCCCAGGACAAAGACACATCCCCATTCTTAAGGTGCACGTGCGTCCAGGGGTTTAAGCAGGACTTAGGATGGTTTTGGGTCGCGATCTGGCTTCGGGATTAGGGCGATTAGGGTGTTGGGTTCTGGGTCTGAGGTTGCGGGCTTTGGGTAAGGGTTTGCATAGTTTGAAGTTAGGGCTTGGGGTGTGGGCGCTTGGATTTTGGCATTGGGCATTGGGCTTACTATGCTGCATGTTGATTGCGCTTTGTTCCTGTCATTGTGCGTGCATGAAATATGAAACGCACAGCCGCCACATCATCATGGCGGCTGTTAAAGTTGCTTTTGTTTGGAGTGTCGGAGTGCCCATAGAGAAAGTTTACAAGTGCATGGGGCTTCAACTACCTGCGGCCTCGTGAAGCCGTACAGGATCCCCAACTCCGCAACAACCCAAGCCCTGAACTTGAACCCTAAACCTTGAACTCAACCCCGTCTCCCCAGCTTCCCCTTCTGCCATCCCCGAGCACCGACGCCAGGCTGAAGAGCAATGCCAGTCGAACCGCACCTGCTGCAAAGCTTGGAAGCAGCTCTGAAACGCTTTTTTTGCGGCTGCATGGTGTTGAAAAATGGACGTTTGATTGAGTCTTGCAGTTGCACATTGCCAAGGAATTATTTTAGGGTTTAGGGAATAGGGTGTTCCGCTTCTGTTCTTGTGATTATGAGGTTTATTCTCATGGAGAGTTTAGGGTGCAAGTTTCAATACGTGAGGTTTCAGGCGTCAGAGTTGGGTCAGGATTGCCTTGTTTGTTGTTGAGGGTTGCGAGCTCCGGATTATAACACTCCGTGTAGCACTCTAGAGTTAATGCTTAAGTAGGGTCTGAGTTCAGCGAGGATTCGGAGAGAGAGAGAGAGAGACAGAGAGAGAGAGAGAGAGAGAGAGAGAGGGAGAGAGAGCGAGAGAGGGAGCTTCGGTGACTTAGGATCTCGTCAGACGCCGCGGTCAGCGGCTTTGAGGGGAAGCATAAACTGGGCTTCAGCCGATGCACAGGAGACAAGCTGGGCTCTGAGGGTTCTGCTGTCGGTTCCATGCAAACCCTAACCCTGAAAGCCGACACCCCAACGCTGACTCCACAAATCCTACATCCTTGAAACTCAAGCCCCATCAATCCTTAACAACGCAAAATCCTGAACCTGAATTCCCAAAGCCTGAAAGCCTACATCCCTATCTCCCCCCCCCCTGGCATCGTGGTATAATGGGAATATAGTAGGGACCTAATATAATCCTTATAGTCACTATTACCTATATCTCCTTTTGGGGGGCCCCCGGGGAGGCCTCCCCTTGCCATGGCTGGAGCGCCAGAAAGGGGGCACAGTGTGCTTTGGACAGCTTGGGCCCGAGATCCGGATGTTGTGGGTTGACATCAAGGCCGCAAGAAGTAGAATAGGGCTTACCCAGAGGCCCCATAGTAGTTCCTTGTTGGGATTAGATAAATAAGAGTCTAAACGTGAGCCCCAAAAGGAACTACTTTGGGGCCTTAGGGTAGGGGGATACATTAGAACATACTTGTATTCGAACCTGAAACCCTTAGGGAAACGTATGACTAACCATTCATGCATGTATGTTATGCGCATCGGCTGTATAAAGCCTGTTAGGGGATACTATAATTATAAGGCTGCTGACCTCTCTATTAAAGCTTGCGGTCAGGCCAATCAAGCTAAAGTGCTTGCGGCTTCGCAAGGCAGGGTTTACGATGAGGGTTCAAGCTGTCCTCACGACAATAAAACAGACTATATGGGATACCAGTGCGAATTTTGTTTATCTACTTCCAGCCTTTTGGGATATAATGCAAAGGGTTTTCTGGAACTTGCGCCCCACAAGTTCAGCTAGAGAGTCGAACGTGTGGTGACGTTGATGTAGGGCTTCTCCTTGACAAGAAGTTGATGTTGGAAACATTTGCAAACACGTAGCCCCTCAATATAGGTTTAGGCTTCTGGATTTATAGCCTTTGTGTTTAGGGTGTATGCAGGATGCCACGCGGACGATCCAGAGCCACCTTTCTGTTTGGCTTAGGGCTTAGGGTCTCAGGGTTACGGTTTCGGGCGTTGCACGGCTTCGTTTGGATAAGGTGGTTGCCGGCGATGCAGGGCTTCGTTGTCGCGCCGGCATTACCGAGCTTTGCTTGGAGCCGGTCTTACGTTCCCCATACTAGATTGAATAGATGCCTGATCATAAACATCGAACCTCGAACTGAAACCAGTCGAATACAGCAGCAAGACAAGTCTACTGTTTGATCGGGTTGCAACAGGAGTGGTTAAAGAAGTTAGCGGGACACCATCATGAAATTACTTGTCATTCCTTCGTGTTAGTTTCGGCAGAGGTCTCAAACGGCATGCTTTCAAAGACAGAGGGACAAAGTTTCAAGCTTTCAAGATGCTGCAGGTTCTAAGTTTCAGTTCAATGTTCTTTCATACTCTCCGTGCCTCGAGCACAACCTCACACCGAGCAATTTGCAAGAACTTAAGACAAGTATGCACGGTTGTGCTGTGGCACGATAGGTAAGCGATGGAACCCAAAGGAAAAGTAGTTCTAGTTTCGGGGCCCCATAGCCCCCAATGTGCTTGTGTCCTGCACGTTACATCCTGGGGTTCAGGGCTTGCCAGGATTTCTGATCAAGGGTATGGGGCAATTCGGTAGTCTACGTCTGCGTCCATGGACTCTGCAATCTGAGGCCTGATTCTTCTTGTGGTGATTCTTGCTACCGTTGCTGTTTCTTACTGTTGCGACTAATAGCATCAATCTTATTGCATTATACCTATTCATATGTTAACTATGATTCTTATTGATATTATCATTGTTGTTCTGATTATTGTTACTCTTGTTAGTGTTAATGTTTTATTATAGGTATCATTGTTATTTCTAATATTAAGATTTCCGCTGCTATAATTATTATTGTTATTATTATTAATATTATTATTATTATTATTATTATTATTATTATTATTATTATTATTATTTTTATTGTTATTATTATTATTATTAATATTATTATTAATATTATTGTTATTATTATTAATATTATTATTATTATTACTATTACTATTATTATTATTATTGTTGTTGTTGTTGTTGTTGTTGTTGTTGTTGTTGCTGTTGTTGTTGCTGTTGTTGTTGCTGTTGTTGTTGCTGCTGCTGTTGTTGTTGTTGCTGTTGCTGTTGCTGCTGTTGTTGTTGTTGTTGTTGTTGTTGTTGTTGTTGTTGTTGTTGTTGTTGTTGTTGTTGTTATGCTACTATATCACTCTTAACATTACGACTAGCGCTATACTCGATGCTGTTATGATGTTCATTGGTTTTGTTACTATGGTTACCATTGCATCATTTCTAGGGTTTAGGCCGGTTCGGGCTCCAGGCCAAAATTCTGCAACCCTGGATCTCTGCGCTCTCTTTGCTCCCGGGACCGTGGAGCTCAAACCGCTGGTTGAGCGGAGTCTGGCTACGGGCTCGCTCGCGTCACTCTAGCATCACTTCAGCACGGAGACCATTCAATCCTCCACATAGCCGTCAGAACGTCTTATGAAAAGAGCTCGAAGAAAAGCATTCAAACCAGGGCCCAAGCTGGGCAACATGCAAAGCTCAAATCGGCTGAGGTCTTAGCACTGCTGCTTTGGTTTAAGAATCATCATACGACGGCTTGCCAAACAGTTATTCCCTCGCAAGCCTTTTGCAGCTTCAGGGCGTCAAGCTATGAGACCACTACAAGCTCTCAGGCTAAAGGTCTTCGAGCTTTAGAATTACCTAAGCCCCACATAGTAGGTAAAATAATGGCCCAATACCTGTAAAAGGCTATTATTCTACATGCTTTGGGGGTCCGGGTAATTTGAAAGGTCCAGGGCTTGACGCTTTAAGGGGTGGAGCCCTGGACCTCGAAGACTCGAACCTGAAAGTCCGATGTTCGGGGATTCTGGCATATCTGGCTTAGGGTATCGAGTCGAAGGCTTTGAATCTATGAGCCTGGAGTTTAGGGGTATAAGATTTTGGACTTAAGATTTAGGGCTTTCGTGTGCTTTAAGTAAAATACTTACTTCAAGCAGACTGAGCCCTTCACACGGGGCTTCTACAAGAGGCTCGCACTGCAGCATCGACTAGTCACCCGCAAGCTCGCACAACAGCGGCCGAGCGTTGGGGCCACGATAAGTGCTCCTGGTATTGCTGCCTGGATGGAGGACTCCGCCGTTCACGCCGTCCCCCAAACGAGGGGCACAGAAGGAAACCATCATGTGCGGAGCACATGCTGCATATCGGCGCGGCCCACACCCAACCGGAGCAGTCTACTGTTTGGTGAAAAACACTTCTGCCATTGCGACTCTATAAACCTGAATTCCAATCATGCACCCGTCATCCAAGCTGCAGTAAACCCTACCCCTAGATACCCTAGATCATCAACCATCCCTCATCGCTTATGATTAGTCTTCTGATGCTCTCGTCTCTCTTGTGTTCGTGTGATTACTGTATTCACAGAGAGCCGACACTCGTCATGCATTCAAGGCAACGGTTATGTGGTCATGATCGTGCTAGTTTTCATATGCACTTGTTGCATCACACCGATCCTTCTGATGCATCGAAGTCAGTTCCAAGCCGAACCCTAAAATTCCAGTTAGAACCTTCAATCACACCCTAAAGGCACTCAAGCCCAGAACTTGTGCAGAACACTTCTTGGACAATTAAGCCACTACTATACTATGCTATACTAAACTGTACTATTCTATACTTTACTATACCATACTACCTTCTATACAACTCAAAACTTCACCTTGACTATACTATAATATCTCACAGTCGACTTAGAAACTCCGCGCGCCTCAGCCGCGCACCGCCTCAATCTTCTCCAGCACGACAGGGAAAGAGGGCCGGGCGGCAGGATCGTGAGCCCAGCAGGCCTGTCTAAGGATTCGATCTTTAGGCGGTTCTGGGATTTGGCGATTTGTTGGGACTTGGGAGTCGACCCGGACCCCAAAAGCATGTAGAATAATAGCCTTTTACAGGTATTGTGCCATTATTTTACCTACTTTTGGGGTTTAGGTAGGGGTTAATTAGGGGATGAATGCAAGCCGACGCTGCCTTTCGAACTCTGGTTTTGCTGCCAGCTGCAATCGATCGCTCATACACAAGCTCAGGGGAGCCGGTTTCTCTGGAGACCCCAAAGAGCTCACCAATCACCCTGACCCTGAAACCCAGCCCCAAACCAGGCCAGAACCAGGCTCTTAGCTCAGGTCCCGGCAAGCTGTCAAGGTAAGCCATATTTTCCATAAACATCCTTGAACCCCAATCCCAGCACGTGCCTTAAGTCTTGCGTGACTTCCGAGCCTTCATTACATCCAGCAGCTGAGTAGGGCAGTCGGGAGGTACAGCGTCCTGGGCACGAGAGAGATCGCAGACATCTGATTCTGACTGTTTCCTGCTCAGTATGCTCAGTAGGTCAGTGGGGTTTAGGAACCCTGTAGCCTCTCCTGCATCTTCCGGAGCTACGAGCAGAATGGTCACGAAGACCTCTTAATTCTTTTATCGGGCCTTCGCTCACACACAGACACTTGGAAGATCAGGGGCCTTAGTAAGTAAGGTTATAAGTACCCTAATTGGGGTTATAAGTACTGTTGACTATGGTTACCCTATTTATAACCCTAATTACTAAGTCCCATGATCCTTCAAGCAAGACGTGCTTAGCTCCGTCTTCGCAGCCTCTTGGACCTCTTAGGAACTTAGTGGGGCATGTCTCCAGCCAACCCGTGCGCGTAGGGTGTGCACGACTACAACCTATAACTATTACTACTACTCTAACTATTACTATTACTATTACTGTTACTGTTACTGTTACTATTACTCTTACTCTTACTCTTACTCTTACGATTACCATTACTATTTGTATTTGTATTACTATTACTATTACTATAACTATTACTATTACTATTCTGATGCAAGCCTTACGCAACAAACTGCTGAGCGGGTTTTCTGGTTGCGAGTTTCTGAAACGCTCCGGCCTGAAGAGGAAACTCCGAGACCAGCAACCCCCTTCCCATGCAAGCTACGCCATCTTCTGAAGCTGCACTTCCCCAAACTCCTTGTTGGGTTTGGGTTTAGGGCTTAGGGTCTCTAGGGCTCTAGGGCCTTTGGAGCTTCACATCGCTCATCGACCGCATTATCCCTACTGTTGGCAACATAGTCGTCATGATCATCTACAACATCTCTGGCAGCATCAACCCTGAACCTTGGGGACATCGTACAAACGGCTTCGACGATTGTAGAACACTTAAAGACCCAGTGGAGGCCTTACAAGATGTTCTGAAAACCAAT